TCCTTCCTTCCTTCCTTCCTTCCTTCCTTCCTTCCTTCCTTTCTTAACAGAAAATCATGTGTTTTTAAAACTGGAAGAAAATATTTTGTTTATGAAGAAATAATCCTCACGTCTCTATCCTATTTTTCTTTTTCCATTTCCTCCTTTGAAAAAAATTCTACTAGTTACTTTTAAATGAAAAAGACACGGAAAAACTATAGAAAATAAGAAATGAATGCCTGTCAATTTCACACACCCCCACTTGCTGTTCTTTAAAGGAGCAAACAAAACAACAATATAAATAAAGCCTCAGTTCCAGAGAAGTTCAGGAACCCACCTGAGGTCACACAGCAGCCATGAGTGAACAACAAAACAAACCAGTGTCTAGGTCATCTGATTCCCCAACCAGTTCTACTGTGCTAAGATCAGATTCCTAATAGAAAATGGGACATTTGAGCTTCCAGATGGTGACACTCTAGCCATCAGATGCACTTTCCAACCACTAGAAAAAAATCAGTTAAGGTTCTAGGCGAATATAGAGCATATTTTCTCAAGCAAATTTAAAAGGCCTCATAGTAATTTTTATATGCTATGAACACTTTTAAAAGAAAATAGACTATTCGTAATACATATTTATCAACTGTTAGGATTATACATGATTTCACAAGGCCCAGCTACAGTGAGAGTTGTTGCATATATTTTAACAAACCAACAAGGGCACGAAATATTCTAAAGTGAATATATGCTCATATTGACTGCATTCTGTGCAGAAAAGCCCACCTCTGGAGCTCCCTGCACCAAGAGGCAGACTTAGAGGGGACGATAACAGGGCTGGCAATCCTTTGCAAGTGAGCAGACAGATTTAGTGTCATCAAGGGATCAGAGCTGATGCCTGGGTTCTATCAGCCTGAGATTCCAACAACCAGTCATGCATCTGATCCAGTCAAGGCCTGGTTTTAGTCACAGTGCAATTAGGTTCATTTGCAAAGAAGCACAGAAAAGAGAAGCAGGAGGTTCATCCTATGCTGAAGTTTTCCTTTTACTCATGGAGGCCTGGAAACTGCACTTCTCCAGGCTTATGAGGTTACCCTCTGGCATCAGCTCATTGATTTCTGAGTCTTACAAAAGCTCTTCTTATTGTGCCTGCACCACAGATTTACACTGCTGTAACTCCTGTCAGACATCATCTTAGCTTTATGAATAAATAAAACTATGCTCTAGGGAAACATTGATTTAAGAAGAAAAATCAATACCCATCTAGCATGTGACAGACCTGAGCTTTAAGGCTGCTTATCCCCAAAGTACAAGGCAATACTAAGTGTAAGACCTCATTTTTTGTTTCCTTATAAAAGGTGAGGGAGGAGGACCAGGGAAGTGGCTCAGTGGTAGTGCACTTGCCTGGCATGTGCCATGCTCTGTGTGTTAGATCCCCAGAATCTCTCTCTCTCTCTCTCTCTCTCTCTCTCTCTCTCTCTCTCTCACACACACACACACACACACAAAAGTGACAGTATGTGAAGTAGGCAAATAATTTTTCCACAGTCCTCATAATTGTCAGGATCCTTCTTTTCTTTTTAAAAGTAGATAGTTGCTATTTCAAAAAAGGAAAGAAAAAGAGAAAAAAAAGGATAAATGAATGAAACTATGGTGGCAAATCTTGACCATCTGTGAACCTAGCTCGTGAGTACATGAGGAGTCACAATACAATCCTCCCTGTGAAATTGTTCATTACAGGAATTTTAAAATGTGCATATGTATGTTTGGTAGAAATTTTAGAAGGCTAGTGTCAACCAAGCTGCTGACCATGGTTCTCTTTGGGTGATGGATTCAGGAAGAAATTTCTTTTCTCTGGTTAAGTTTTGTATTTTTCAACTATCTGAAGTGAATAGATAGGTAAGTGGTTCTTATCATTTAGAATACAATGAATGTAGGAGAGGATAGCAAAAAAACAACAAAAAGATGAACAAGACTCATCACAGGTATCTTGTTGACTATCACCCTGGAGATGGCTATGATGTACATCAGAACACGTGTATTCCAGACCAACTCTTCTTCCTGTTCTTGTGTGTTCCACAGGGCACAAGCAAGTTGCCATTAAAATGGACTGATTTCAAAAATAAAGCCAACAGCTTATGCTGAAATTAACTTCATCTTTGTGAGCCAAAGATCAAACGTGAGACAATCACCTTACAACCTAAGCCAATTTTTACAGTGGAGACAGTTGTTAAAAGTTCTGACATGTCCTGTGGTAACCTCTGATTACAAAGCCACTCTAGAAAGCCCGGCTCTTGTTCAGAATCAGTTTGAATTAAAAATGAATCCCATTCTTTTCCCTTAGCTTCTCAAAGATGCGGTTCATGGCTAATTGTGCTAACTGTGGCCTCTCGAGAAACACACTTATTTGTTGATTTGGATTAGGAACTTCAGTCTCACTGGACAGTGAGTAATTCTGTGTTTTCATTGCTTGTCTTTCTAATAACTAGGAAGGACAACACTGGAAATCTGAATTGCACATCCAATGCATAGGCAGGTTAGAAGCCAAAAAATGGTTTGAGACACTTTAAATTTTGAATTCCATATTAAAATATCACAAAAGTAGCTGGAGAAGCTACTGCCTGAATCAACTTCCAAGATGGACATGATAAAGAGTTTCAAGTACCAAAAAGATGTCTCCACCACATTGGTATTGATACCAGCAGAAGAGGGAAAGGGACCCTGACTTGGCGTTGGGGGCTCTTCTTTAACACATGGATATTAAAAGGAAAAAAAAAAAAAAAGGAGAGTCTGATTGTTGAGAAAAAGTGCTTATATGTAGTCAGAAAAAAAGCACAGCTTGAGATCAATTACTTAGCATGACTACCTTCTTTTTTCTTATTACAGTGTTACAGATACATTCATTTAAAGAAATTAGAGCATTCTCTGCTTGTGACTATGTGCCAGGCATTTATTAGAAGTTGTAGTGCATAAATAAGGTCTGAACTTTGCCTTTAAGTTTTGCATCAATAGGAGGGTCAGATACATAAGTAGATGACCATAATGGAGTATGATTTGAGATAGAACTGAGGGATTGTGGGAGTCCAGCTATACCTGGAGGAATCAGGGAGGGCCTCTTGGACAAGATGGAATCGGGTAGGTCTGGAGAGAAAAAAGTCACGTGTGCCTGATGGGGCATGATATGTTGGAATACCCCAAGAAATTCAGTATTAATGAAGCAGAGGTCAGAAAGCAGGGGAAGGCAGGCACAGTGCTGGAGGGTGGGCAGAGATCCATATCAGGGAGGCTGGGGCTGAGGTTATAAAGGCCTACAGAAGTCATTGAGAGGGAAACCGTGTTATAAATTTGGGAACAGGGTCCACAGAATGGGACTGTCTGTTGGAAGAGAGCTACAATAGTTAGCTCCAGGCATGGATCTGTGAAGAGGTAATGAGGATCAGAACGAAAGCCCTGGCCAGTGGGAGGCAGAGAAGGGGAAGGTCAGAAAGATACTTACAATGAACATTTGTAAGAGCTGGCAGTGAGAATCTGACCTCACCAAGCGCCAGTCCTTGGTCTCAAAACTTTCATATATTATCTTAGATCAAGAATCTGGTGTGGACTGAATGAGGGGGATGAGGCAATGACAGGACCGAGATTTCTGGCTTGAGTTACTGGGTCAACAGGGATGCCATTAATTGAAGTATTGATTCCAGGAAAGGCAATCAGTTGCAAGCACAGGATGAGTGAGGGAGGCAGGGGAAGACGCTTTCATTGTAGACCTATTAGTTTGTTTGTTTTTTTTAAATTTTATTTGTTCTTTCTAGCTTATTAGTTTTGAGAGCTACTTGGTACACACAAATAAAGCTAGCCAGAATGTTGGGGACAAGAGTATGACATAGCAGAGAGCAAACTGGAAAGACAGTTTAAATAAAGGGAAAAAAAAAGGTAGAAGAATATCTTTCTAGTGAAACTGTCAGGCATGTACCAGAAACCCAGGAGGACAGTGAGTCCAGTCCTGAGGCATGGGATATATATTCTAAAATATATAGATTCTCAAGGTAAGTCTTAATTACCTTCTAACTGAAAAACACTCTGCACTTCAGGCCACCACTAAAATGTGCAAGGCGAGCAGCTCTCATAGAAACAGAAGTGCAACAGAGAAAAACAATGTTTAAACCCCCAATCGAGATTCTTGTCAAACGTTTGAAGATCAGAGGAAGGCCTTGTGGAGTGTGGATAATCAAAGCTCTTAATGCACTGATTCTTTAGCCTAAGTTAACTAACAAAAGGCAGGCTGTCTTCCAGGATCTGTAGTTATATTTAGAAGGATCCAGGCCTCAGAGGGAGACCAAAATGACACCGAACTAGCTCCCTGCTCCCCTGAGGGGAAAGGGTTACTCTGGCATGAGAAAGAATTTCCCACCAAGTTAAAGGAAAGGTTTAATGAAGACAGTGGCCTATTTTACAAGGTTCCTTCTGTGAAGAGATGGGGAAATTCAGACCATATGGACCCCTTCCTCTCTAAGCCATAAAGGAATTGGATAATGATGTATAATGGGTATGGGTCAATCGGGCCACAGCACTGGAGGTTTCTAAATCTTTTAAATGGGGTGGGCATGGCACTTCAAAGTCCAGAATTCATTACAAAAATTGATGACCCTATAGTAAACTAATTGCTAAAATTAAAGATAGAATGCCTTTGTGTCATCACTCATTTGGGTTGGATGATTTTTTTTCCCCTGGGTTGGTTATTATTAACAGAAGATGGCCCCAAGGTCATTAAGGAATTTTTGATGCTAATAATGATAACAATGAACACAGTGTGATATTTTTTTGATGATGGTGGTGGTGGTGAAAGTGCTGGGTATTCTACTAACCTTCCCATTGTACCCATGAGGCTATCAATTATTATTCAATCTCAAAGATAAGGGAAGAGACTGAGAGAGGGTACACATTCGTCCACCTTCACAGAAGCATTACAAAGTAGAGCCAGGGTTGTGCCTATCACCGATCACAAGAAAAAGACCATGTTGTAGGAATCTCACCTGTTGATGTCTCTGTGGCAGAAGACTTGTGGTGTTAAACTCAAAATGGACTAGCTCACGCCTTGAGGTTTTTCAGCTTGGAAGCTATATCTGCAGACACACAACTCAGTCCCCAAATGAACAACTGCTGCCTGTACACCAAGTTAAGCCAGAAGCCAACTTGGATGATCAATAGTTCAGACAATAACGTAGATAAATTAGTACCTTGAAATCACCCTTTCACAGCTCCAAAGTTGTGCCCGACTGTTGAAATAAGAGGACTCCTTGCGTTCTGGAAAGGAAACATAAAAGGAAACAATTTCAAAATTCTATACTGAATTAAACCTGCAAAAGCTAATAAGATAATTATCTTTTCATTTACTTATTTAAGTTTGAGGTAATAAAGAAAACAACTGACAACTGTATCCTTTGACATTTTAATACTATATAAGAAAAGTGTTCAAAGGCAAAAGTTAAAACTTGCTCTTAAAATATGCAGACATAAGTAGTATTCTACATTTTATGTACGTAGGAGTGTAAAAACAAAGGTGTTCAAACGTGTGGTCATTAATTATGCAGATGCTTTGTCTTCTCATTGTCCCCTTCTACCTCTTTCTTAGATTCTGATAGTCACCATGAGTTGTCAGGGCTGCAACCACAGACCTCACATGTGGATGCCTCGAGATATGTAAGGAACTACGGAAGCCAACGAGAAAGAAATGGCTGCATGCCTAGGAGGATGATGGCCTTGTCAGAAAAGACAGGGTGCGACAAACTGGCACAGAACCAGGAGGTTAGAACAGATCTAGCCACATTATCCTATGCCTTCATCTTGAAATATACTGTATTTTTAACATGGTTCCTTGTGCTTAAAAATAAAATTATATCACTTATAAAGATCACTTCTTCCAAGAGTAGGTGCGATTCAAGTTTGGAATGTAATCTGGAATCTAAAATTCTGCTTTTGCACAACTGTGGCTCTGAAGACATGGTTGATGTGCCACGTAGAAGTAACCAGCATGGAGAGTGAAGGAGCGAGCGACCCAGAGTCTGGGGTGAAATTTCTGAGAAGGGACAGCCACTGAGGTAAACCAATGTCTCTCCCCATCCCTGCTTTTCTGACCCCCTCCTTTTTCTGGCAATGTTTAAAAAGGGAAAACAAAGAGCTATCTCTTAGAAAGAAATGACAGGGAAAGCAATGCTAGATGACCACAGAGAAACAGTACAGTGGATGACAAGCGAGGCTGGTGGCCCTCGTGAGCTGCTCAAGTCAGAATCTGGTGATCAGCAAGACAGGAGCTCTCAAAGCCTAACAGTCACACACTCTACCCCTGAGGGCCAAGAGCCCTTGGATGTAGTCACTGACTGAGAGGCACAAGGTGAGAGGGTGCACATAGGAGAGGCAAGAAAGAAGTCAAGTTTGCTTTTGCAAAAGGTTGCCTGCAGCAGCAAAGGGCAGGGGAAACTCTCTGCTCTTGGCCTTTTGCTGGGGAAATTCCCATCTGAGTAGCTCAGCATTATAGCTCAGTGATACTGTGGATTCTGGAAGGCTTCCACACCAACCTTTAGAAAAAAAACTCATCATTTATCAAGCCAGGAAGGTAAACTGCAAGCTCTAAACAACTTCATCAGAATGGCACCTGTTCAAAAGTCGAGCAGTAACAGCTGTGAGACGCTGCTAGTGGTGTTTAGAGTACAGCTAACGCTGTTTTGTGAACACTGACAAACCTTCACACTGTGTGCACAGGCATGCAAAAGCAATGATAATAAGGCTCCATTTGGGAGACCCCATATAAATAGGGACACACATGTAATAACAGAAGTATGTTTAGGCTGTGAGCACAATACAGAAAAGAATGTGATATCTTTGTTCTGGAGGGCCCATATGTACAGCCCCGGGGATAAAAACCAAGCACCCTGGCAGCTTTGCTGTCTACCTGTGGCAGCACCTGCCATCTGTCCTCTCTCAGGCCCCCCACAACCCCCCAACCCTGAGATCCTCATGCCTCTGCTACATTGGTATTTTTTAAATAAAAAAATCACAACCAGAGATATGAAAAAGTGTGCTCTATGTGTGTAATATGAATTGTAATGCATTCTGCTGCCATATATAACAAATTAGAATTAAAAAATTTTAAAAAATCAAATAACTAATAAAGAAATGAATATCTAATAAGAGTTTTAAGTGAGAAACTATAATGTGCCTTTAAAGAGTAGGTAGATCTTGTAGCTGGCAACTGGGGCCTGGGGTTTATCTCAACCTCTTGTCCTAACTATGTCCCTGGTCTGTCACATCCTACTTAATATTCTCCTTTAGAATCTAGTGAAGAAATAATCTGTAAGCAGTGTAAAGTTTATGCTCTAAAACACAGATTTTCGACAACTGCCCTGCTAGTATTTGGGGCTGGATAATTTTTTGTTTTGAGGGACTAGCATCCTTACAATAAGCTGTGACAACCAAAAATGTCTGCAGACTTTGACAAATGTCCTGAGGGGCAAAATCACCCCCATGTTAAGCAAATCACTAGTCTAAAATGAATAATAGCGTATTAAAACACAATATTTATATCTTAATTTCCATATTATACTGACAGACAGTATGGGTGGGGCCCATTAGAAAGGGAACGAATGGGACAGGGGAGAGGGAGGGTGGTACGTGCATTGAGCGCCTACTGTGTTCTCAGCCCCACATGAGTTCAGCCATTTTATTTAATATTCACAAAAAGCCTGTGTCTCCCCCTGATAAGAGAGTTAGCTCAAAAACCTTGAGAGGCAATGAGTTAGGGTATGCTGATGATGCTATGAAATGCAGCACTCTTCAGAATGAACTAAAAATAAATCTATCTCTTCACAGAGACACCGGTACACCTTTGCTTCATCTTCAGCAGACAACACCCAACTTCTTGTCCTCAAGACAGACCAGCACCACAGGCTGTCATGGCAAATGTCCGGATTAGGCTATTTCACCACCAACTAAAAGCCACGTGGTTGTTATCATAATGGAGTTTTCATTCATGGAGTCGGAGGAGTGGCTGAAATATCTCTTTTCCTAAAATCACAACAAATCAGGGATATTTTGCTTATGGAATAGCTATGAAATGCTAACTGGTTACAGTTCTTTGCCAGGGTCCTAGGGGACCATAACCGTGCTCTGGAGTCCAGTACAGCATAGGTTGGTTAAATCCTGGCTTAAACTAGAGATGTCTCTGAGTATATTTACTGAGACAAGGGACAGGGATTCTTGGATGAAATCTGATGTTGTCATTTTCTCTTCTCATCTCTGAAGGGCCTGGTATGCTCAACTATCTCTATTAAATTCAGCATAGGAAAGTCCAAAAACGTCTCCAAACAGGGATCTTTCCTAGCCCTGTCTATTCAAAATCTCCAATACCTCTTTTTAAATACATATGTTGATATGTATTTTTTCCCCAGTTGACTTTTTCTAATTCTAATATAATCACATCTCTCATTCTAATATCTATTTAAATACCTTAAGGAGTGTGTCTCCTGGTGCCAGTCACAATTCTAGGTGGGGTTTTGTTCTTGACCAAGCACTTATGGAGCTTTCTAGAAGAGGTGGAAGGCAAGCTAACCGTCTTGCAGACCTACTGTAATACCCACTGAAGAAAACTACTGAAGCCAGCATGGAGCTGGGGCTGCCCAACAGGTGGGACTACGTTAAGTGGAGGAGTCAGAAAGACATCATTAAGAGAATGCTGGGTGGCCAGAGGCCTGAAGGGGCAGGGGTTGGGGGTGGTAGAACACAGGCCATGTGTCCAGGATGACAGTGCTACTCATGGAGCCAGAACAAGCCCAGTGCTTCTGTAGACACCAAGGAAAGGACCTGGCCCCATGACACACACAAAGATATGGGGGTAGATCCAGGAGAGGCTATGGAACAAGTTCTTTTCTAAGTCATGTCACAAAAAAAGAATGGGAAACAAGGTTATCAGGTGACATGAAGATGGAGAAAGGGTATTTAAGGTACGAAGAGGAGCATGAAGTCCTCTGGGAGAGAGCAGGAGTGAATGGACAAGGGGACCAGCAGCCTTGGGGCCCACTGGGCTGGAAGTGAGACCGGCTAGCCTAGTGGGTTGTACTCCTCAGCCTTTTACTAGCAGAGGTGAGGACATAGAGTGGGGAGGGAGGTGGGATCTACAGGTTTTGCCAGGTGAGCACAATGAGTAAGAGAAAGAAGCAAAGAACTTAAGGGTGGTTACAAAGGAGTGATTATGAGGAGATGGTGTAATCTAAGCTGGGTAAGTAGGAAAGAGCTAGAGGGAGTGTTGTCAGTAAGAGTGAGAAGGATCAATGGATTGTGAGTACTGATGGAGTTAAGGTACAGGGGACAAAAAGACAGGGATGTTGAACAGAGAAAGGGATGCTTGGGGAGAGAGTAGGTTAGATACTTGCTACTCAAAAGTATGGTTCCTGGACTAGTAGATTCTGCAATATTGGGTCTTATTAGAAATGCAAAACTGTGATTTCTTATTTTGCGTCTTTGACCACATCTTGGACCTATGGAATCAGAATCTTCATTTGAACAAGATCCCCAGGTGATTGCACAATAAATGTGGGAATGAACATACACAATAACATGGGGGAAGAACTGGCATAAGCCACTGTTGCAGCTGAGCCAAGCTTTGTCTCCACTCACATGGAAGCCATAGATGCCTTGTCAAAGGTGCTGGTGGACAGGTTTTTGAGGTTAGGGCCTTTCCTAGGGGCTATTTCCCATATTGTAGGCTCTACTTAAAGCAGCTTACTTTGGATTCTTGAGTTTCTATCCAGCTGTTCTCACACCCTTGTTCTGCCGGTCTTGTATCCTTAAAATATAGCTGAAAGTCTTCAGATTTCATTTACCAAGAAATGCTTCCCTGTGGCTTCTCTCCCTGTTCTTATTTCCTGAGACCAAGTTCCAGATAACCCCCCTCTATTCTCATTTGCATGTCAGGGGGCAACCAGATACTCAGGGTCCTCAATCTGGCCTTCACAATCCCATATGTCCATAGATCTATTTTGAGACACTACTGCAAAATACATAGTATTGCCATTTGTGGCTTTTTAAAAGCTTAGCTTCCTGTTTTAATTATTCACACTCAAGCACCTCAAGAAAAGAAATCACAGTTTTGCATCTTCTTTACTATGAGTAGACTGTCTTCATGCTTTATAGTTAATTTTATTTTAAAAAAGGAAAACAACATCTGTATGCTACATTACAGAATGAAAGATGAAATGGAGCCTAATTAACGAAGGCTTTGTCTCCATAGCAGCTTTATTCCTAATAAACAG